GCGGGGCCTGCTGAAAGGGGCTGGAGCTGAGGGGGGGTGGGTTGGGGGCGGGGCCAGGGCGAGGCAGGCCTGCAGGGCTGGAAGCGAAGCCCCTGGAAAGGGACTGGGCGGGACCATAGCACGAGGTCAAGTGGAGGAAAGGTTGGGTTCAGCCCCGGGTCAGCCAGATGTGCTAGGCCAGAGCCCTTGGGGTAAGGGCAGCGCCCACGGGCGGGGCCTCTGGTGCTGGGGCGGGGCCTGCAGAATAGAGGAGCCTGGAGCTAGAGGAGTTGGCCGGGGCGGATGAGTGGAGTGGGATCCTGTGCCTGGAGGCCTCTCAGAGCAGTAGTTCCTGAGGGCAGGCGGCGCTTTGCGGATGGAGACTAGAAGGGGGAGGGACCTGGCGCGCTGAGAAATTGGCTGCGAGATCAAAGCCTGAGAATGGGCGGAGCCTCCGAGGGGCGGGTCTTGGAGCTGTGGCCTTAGCAGGGTTGGCTTCCAAGTCTGAGTGCTGGGGCTTGAGGGTGGAGACCAAGGAGATCGGGCCTGGAACTGGAGGTGGTGCCATTGGTGAAGTAGCAAATGGGGGGCAGGGCCTGGCAGGGGTAGGGCCAGGCTCACAGGACTAGGGGCTGCTCAAGGGGTCCTGTAACCTCTTTTCTGTTTCTGAGTCTCCTTTTGGGAGATAGAGTGGTTGTGGCAGTTAAGCTCATAGGCTTTGAACTCAAGCTGAGAATCCAACCCGTTCTAGTTAAAGTCAGCAAAGTGCTAGAAGATTCAAGGAGATAGTGTATAGAAAGAGTTTTAGCCCAGTGCTTGGCGCATTAGTTGCTTAATATGGAATGGCTGGAATGGCGCCCTGGCCGGTTTGGCTCGGTGGATAGAGCATCGGCCTGGGGACTGAAGAGTCCCAGGTTTGATTCCCGTCTGTTTTTAGCCCTAGCCAGTTTGGCTCAGTGGATAGAGCGTCGGCCTGCGGACTGAAGGGTGCCGGGTTAGATTCCTATCAAGGGCACTAATCTTAGTTGCGGGCTCCTCCCCTGGTCAGGGCTGGTGCAGGAGGAAACCAATCCATGTGTTCCTCTCACATTGATATTTTTCTCTGTCTTTCTTTTTCCCTTCCACTCTCCCTAAAACTAAATGAAAAAACATCCTCGGGTGAGGATTTTTAAAAAATGTTTTTATTGATTTTTAGAGAGAGAGGAAGGGAGAGGGATAGAGAGATAGGAACATCGATGAGAGAGGAACATCAAGGCTGCCTCCTGCATGCCCCCTACTATGGACGGAGCCTGCAACCGGGCATGTGCCTTGACTGGGAATCGAACCGGTGACTTCTTGGTTCCTGAGTTGATGCTCAACCGCTGAGCCACACCGGCTGGGCCATCATTGTCTTTTTTCTTTTCTTTTTAAATTATTCTTCAAAAAGCATTCATTGGGCACCTGCTCTGGGCCACACATTATTTAGGACCCTGGGAGAATACAGTGGGGACATTGACAGGTGAAGTTCCCACGCTCCTAGATTTTACAGCCTCGTGAGAAACACATCAGTTCACTGGTCCACCTCATCCACTAGGCGCCGACTGTATGCCAGGGCTGTGCTGGGCCCAGACAGAGCCCCAAGCCCCCAGGGGTGCCATTCTCTGCTTCAACTTGGAATGTCAGGGAAGGGTGTTCTGTTTCCATGGGGTCTTCTCTGTTCACTGCAAAGTCCCTAGTGGCCAGAATAGAGCCCAGCACATACTAGATGCTCAAAATAGATTAGTTGAAAGAATGAATGAATTTCTGAGGTGAACACTTTAAGATGGGGATGGGTAGGAGTCAGGCGGAAAAAATATATATTCCAGGTGCAGGGGGCAGCATATGCAACCCCTAAACCTGGGGAGCAGCCTCATCTCTCCGGTGCCAACTCTTGATGGCTCTCCTTTTTAAAAAAAAATATATTTTTAATTTTCAGAGAGGAGGAAGGGAGAGGAAGAGAGAGATAGAAACATCAATGATGAGAGGGAATCATTGATTGGCTGCCTCCCACACGTTGGACCGAGCCCGCAACCCAAGCATGTGACCTTGACCAGAATCGAACCTGCGCAGGCCGATGCTCTATCCACTGAGCCAAACCGGCCAGGGCAACTCTTTGTCTCTTGATAACCTCCCGATTTCTGAGGCTGTCTCTCCCTGTGTCGTTTTCCAGTTTCAGCCTTATTTGCTCTTCATCTCTCCCCGCAGGCTCAGGCCCCGCCTTGTGGAGGCCACAGAAGAACCGCTCCCGGGCAGCATCCGGTGGCGCGGCCCTGGCCAGCCCCGGCCCCGGGTCGGG